CATAATGGACTTTGTAATTATAATATCAACTCAAGGGTAAGTTTTATTTGGCTAAAAAAAGTGGGTGTGTATATGACACCCTGGTGTGGGGGATTTTTTTAAAAAATAATGAATTAAAATAGTGAGATAAATTAAGTATTATGTACCTGAATTTGTAATGATAAAAAGTTGATTTGTGATAAAATAAAAAGAAAAAAATTATTGTTTTTTATAGAAAAACTAAAAAATAAAAAAGAAATGAGAGAAAAGAAAAAAAAATTACTCATAAAATTATAATTTAAATATCACTTATGAATCCACAAATAAATATTAACAACAAGTTTAGTTTTTCTGGAGGTACCATAATGAAAGAAAAAGCAAAAGATAGCTAAGACAAATAAAGATTAACTGTATGAGCTAGACAGCTAGAAAGAAAAAGGATAACAAGCTCTTTGTGAAATTATTAAAACAGCAAAGGTGTTGCTTATTAGCAGCAATTCTTGAATAATAATTAAAAGTCTAGATACTAGTAGAATATGGTAGGTAATCTTGGTCCACATGAAACACAATATAGCCTGTAAAGGACATATTTTAAGAAGTCACTCGCTAATCACATTTATATTCCTAGATTAACTATGCAATCCTAATATAATAAATATTCTAAGTAAAATTCGAGCACCATTATTGCTAGTAAAATTGATACAAATACCTTTAAAGTTAAATAAATGTCACTGGACAATTGTTAGAAATGGCATTCTAATATATGCTTGCGATGACTCTTTCTATTAAGAATTCATTTTTATAGTAGCAAGCGTGATTATATTTGGGACAAATCTATTCATATAAAATTCATGAAAGCAGCCTTTGTTTTGTTTCCGTTCCTCTCGTTGAAACTGTTTTTCTTTTTTTATTTAAAATTAATTATTTTTTATTTTAAATAATTTTAATATGTTGATATTAAAAATAAATTTTTTAAAATAAAAAAATATTATTTTAATATATTTTTAAATAAATACCATTTTAAATCATAACTACTACGGCACGAAGAAAACAACCGTTATTAAAACCATCACCATAATTTGTGTAAGAATTTCGTGGCCTTGCAGGCTTATGAATTACTGGTGATGAGTAAGCACGAGTGGGCTTCGGTTGCCAATGATCGATTGTAACTCAGCACCCAGTGAGGCCCGTCCTTATGGTAGGAAATGGGAATGCACTGGATTAGAGCCCATTAAAACAAGGACGTTTTGAAGGCAATCTACGTGTCTTCAAACATGTAAAAGACCAACCACACCTTACAATGAACATATCACATAATGCAATTGATCATTAAGGGGGATTGCAATAATCCTCCCATATCTCATTATATTACAAATCATCCTATGCTTTGATTCATATTCGGACAGCACACGATGTTGTTTAGGAGCACACTTCCTCATTAATGGTTAATGAAGAGCGTAGTGTACAATAACATTTTGCTTCGGTATAATAACTACTATTGTTGCTTAAGTATCACTATGATAACTTATCCTTGATCTATATTAAATTTTAAATTAAACTATGTAAAATTGATATACTAGAACTGCAGGATCACATGCCACCCATGTGACTCATTTAAAATTATGATTGATTTAAAAAAAATGTTTTTTAAAAGGATATCTCTTAACTTTTTTTAAAAAAAAAAATATTAAGATAGTAACATTTTAAATTAACTCGATTTATCATTTCAAACTTATTAATTAAATTATAGAACTTATTAATTAAATCATAGAACTTATTATTTAAATATAGAATTAATTAAGTTTAATAACTTTATTTAAATTTTTTTTAATCATGCATATAATAAAATAAGCATTCACGTGAAAAGACAATGAATGAAATTATGGAGGTAACAAATATTTTTTATGTTAAAAATACCTTTTATAACTCATGTAATATTCTTGTTTTAATATTAAAATAATATTTTATAAGAAACATAATTTAATTAATAAAATATAAAAATCTAATTTTCTTATTCAAGCATTTCATTTTTATTTTGACAAAAAACAATTTTCTTTTTACATAAACATTTTTTTTTCAAAACCTATTATTATGATCATGAAAGCAATTTTTCAATTAAAAAAAATACTAAAGACCATGAATTGATCTTTTTTAGACACAAATATGAAAAAATATAAGAACAATAAATTTGAGAAAATAATATGTAAGTTTAAAATTAAAAAATTAAAAAAAATATATTTTTTTCGTTCTTATTCAACATCAATGAGAAAATTATTTTTTAAAATTTTATATATCAAGTTAATTTGTAATTTTTCATAAAACAATCAATAATATCATCATAAAAGAGACCAATCATCTTAAAAAAGGACCTGACTATTTATTCATGGCATGTTTTTCTTGAATAAAAGATAGTGACAATTAATATAAAAGTTTCTTAACAGTTTCAATCATTTAAAATAATCAGCAAATTACATATCTTCAATTTGAACTCTATTTTCTTTTTATCGCTTCTCTTTATTGTTTTAACAAAAGGAGTTTTTTTAATAAGAACTATTTTTCAAATAAAAAATTATCATGATATTAAAACAAGTTTTTAAGAACTATTTTTCAAATAAACAATTATCATGATATTAAAACAAGTTTTTAATAAAGAATATTAGAATAATGTATTATATTTTATATGTGATGGAAGGTAAAAAAAATAATTGATGTAATAAAATGATGTCAAAAATCTATTATGTTAAGGTATGCATAATAAAATATTCATGAGTGTGTGTGTCTATATATATTTGCATATTATGTATATAATAATTAAAAAATAAATTTTTAACATTCTAGAAAAATATATAATATTACTTTATAAATATTATAAAATTGAATAATAATTTAAAATTTGTTGCAGTGTATTTAAATCAAAATCTAAAAGAACTTGAAAAGGATACAATAGAAAAAAGAAAAAGGAAAAAGGCCTTGGCCGAAGAGATTGAGCCCACTCCTCTGGCTTAACAGAAAAAAAAATAAAAAAATAGCATGGGTGGGGGGTTTGCAAGGCAGGCCCATATAATTTACCTTTTTTTATTTATTTTTTTAATAGTTAAAGATAAATAACATATTGTTGTCTCTTTTATTTTCATTTTTAAAAATAAAAAATAATGCATCATCTATAATAACAAATAATAGGTTGCTTTTCAAATTTAGTCTACCGAAAAGATAGTCAGAAAATCAAAACTCATGCTTATTTATTTATTCAAAAACTTAATTTTAATCTAAAAATATCTAATAAACATCTTAAGAATCTAAACAAATTAATTTCTAAACCCAAAACACCCTTAAAAAAGTTCCAAGAATAAACACTAAACAAAATATAAATTTCTTCCTTAACCCCATTTACTTCTCTTTTTTTTCTCCAATGAAATGAAATCTCAAAAACAATGTAATGATATCAAAATAGGCCTTTATATCACTAGAATATGATCAACCAAGCAATTTCTCTCTTCTATCCTATTTTTTGATAAACTATTTTTTTTTTAAAAAAAATTCAGGATTCAAAAGTTAAAATAAATAAAGTTTAAGATTGAAACATGAAATTCTCAAAATATAAGGATTAAAAATAAAAAAAAGGTTAACAAACTTTAGGAACAAAAGTATACTTTTTCACGCATCATGACTAATTAAAAAGTTAGGACAAAAGTATTTTTTTTTTGTTTCAATATTTTTAAAAGATAAAATGAAATCCTATTATATAAAATCAAGCATCAATTAAAACCTAGGACTTTTTTCAACACCGCAAATACCAGCATCATGAACAAAAAATAATTATCATTCCTTAAACACAATTGTGAAATGATTAAATAAAACAAAATTCGGCAGGTGAAATGAATAACTACTAATATATATATATATAAAGCTAACTCAGATGCACTTAATTTGTCAATCCATGGTGCGTGCCTGAGTCATGAGTAACAATAAAAGAAATAGCCTTCTTCATTTGGGTTATGGTGTAATTATAAGGGTAAATATGTTGATTAATTCTCACATAATTGAATAAAAGTTTTCAATATATCCTCATGTTTTTAATTGTGTCTATTATATCATTGCGTATAATACACAATTCTTTAATAAATTTTCTTTGATTTAAATCGATGGAATTATGTTTTTTATTCTTAAAATGTACATAAACTATACAAGAATATAATTTTAATTTTAAAAATAATATCTTTGTTAATTAATTTTAATCCTGGAAAATTTTTAATTCATTTTGAGTAGTCTTTCTACTATATCCTTCTATAACTCATTGGTAATTTTAGAATGTATAATACAATTCTATCAATATAATTAAAAAAAATTAATAAAAAAATATATAATAAATATAATTAAAAATGTAAAGATATGCTAGAGACTTGATAAATTATATAATAATTACTGCTCAGAGTTCTAGTTTTGAGTTTTGACAAGCTGTTGATGAAGGTATAAATATTTCTCCTTATCTGATCATTAATCACAACAGCAATGAAACAGTGGATATTAAGTACACCATAATATCAATCATATCAATTATAGGGAAACCTTAATCATCTAGGTGGTGGTCAAGTAGTAAAGATTTGAAACTAAGGGGTTTACTTTTTCTATGGTCTCAAGTTCGAGTTCTTGGTTGCTCATATGATGGCTACTGGAGACTTACATGGTCGTTAACTTCAGGATCGTGGTGCGCGCAAGCTGGTCCGAACACCCACATTAATCTAAAAAAAAAAAACTGATAGAGAAACCTTGTAATAATCAACAGAAATCTTGTTCGTTCCATTAATTAATAATCACCAAGCACAACATTTATAAAAATTCTTTTTTTTTTTTAGTAAACAATCTTTTTAAACACTCTTGCTGGTAAGATCATCGGCTCTCTTGAACCATTCCACTGCAAAAATTCTTCACCTTTCTTTTTCAACAAATCATGAGCATACTGGATAGTTTGCTGATCCGGCAAAAAAAACAAAAAAAAACCTGGGGTGGGGAGAATAAAGGAGTGCACAAATCGTCCTTCGATCTTAGTTTAATCTATTTAAATTTGTCAAAGAATCTAATTATCATCAAGCAATTCCACCACATTAGTGTAATCTGTGGTGCTGCAACAGTGATTCCTCATCTGATCTATTCATTTTTTATGTTCCTTGCTGGCAAAGTTGGAGACCAAACGCAACCAGCCCGCATTATTTTTCTCTGATTGAGTTTTCTTCCCTGTCTCCATGTCTACACTCGTGTCAAATTGTCTTCAACGGCTGTATAACTTGACTGATTTTTCTAATAATTCGTGGTTGTTGCCGGAAATTTCTTTAACCCTCGATCCGTTCTTGTATATCTTGAACGATGGCAAAAGTGTCACCCTCTCTGACTTTGCCAGGTAGGGATGGTCTTCAACCTCCACCTGAAACCATCAATGCATCAACGATCAATTATTATGACTTACAGTCCACTTTGACCTCTTGCTTCGAGCTGGGGATTCAACTCTGACATATAAAACTTGTTATTGTTGGATATTCTTACTGGGTTTCTTCTTTAATTGGGTTTATCTATTTAGCAATGCAATGCTATGCTTGCAGATAACAAACCTTGAGAAAGTTGACGGATGGGAATTTCTTGGAGACTTGCTCCATCAGCTGCAACACTGTTTGACCATTATCTTTGCTACAAAAGAGCACCACAGACATCCCTGCCAATTCATGCACAGAGGTTTGTTGTCCTCGTCAAATAAAAAAACATGCCCTGTACGCACAAACACACACTCAAGATCCATAGCAGCAAAAGCTTTAGTTTTGGACTTACCGGGTGAAGTTACGAAGTGTCTAAAGCGCTCATTGCTGGAAACAAACACCAAATTAGAACCAAATTTGAGGTCCTGGGTGTCTTCGCCACGTTGCTTTTTAAGTTGAACCTGCGCTTCAAACAAGGCCCGGCCCACTTCCTCATCTGCTGGACTTTCTCTTATCAACATCTCAAAATCTTGAATTGAAGCCGCCCATCTTTCCAGCTAATCAAGCAATAAATAAATAAACTAATTATTTATCGGTCAGATATTAGAGAAATGGCTTAAATTTTAACACCCACGCCCATCTTGAAACCCTTTAGTCGTTAGTGGTGCTCAAATTTACCTCGGCATTGCAATGAGCCCTTCTTAGCCTTGCTTTGCTATAATTGGGTTGCAAACTAAGAGCCGCAGTGCAGTCTTCTACAGCCTTTTCAAATTGGCCAAGCTTGGACCGACAGGCTGCTCGGTTGCATAGTAAAATTGAGTTGCAAGGGTCATGTTCGAGGCCTTCACTATATGCGATAGATGCCTCGGTGAATTTTGATGCCTTGAATAAAAAGTTGCCCCTCAATCTAGCAGATGCTACTGCTCTAGCACTCTTTAATACTGCGTTAGCCTCCCTGTTGCTGGGATCGAGTCGAGCAGCTTGCTGGGCTGCAGCCATTGCATCTTCAAACCTATTAACAGCAACCAAGTTTGATTAAAATTGCTCGATTTTGTGATAAATATCTGAGTATTTGTAAATTCATCAGCATTACAGAATAAGTTCATCAATACAATCATTTAAGTATCAGTACAAAAATTAGCTCGACTTCGAAACCAAAATACCATCATTTGCTAATTAATTTCGCTATTCGATGTTAATTAATTAAATAAAGTCCAAAGAGCATCTATCAAAAGAAAAAAAAATGAAAAAGTAAACGAGAACAACATTCCCCTTTTGATGACATCTCTCTGGAAATTCTAGGAAAGGAGAAAGAGATGGCCCAAACGATCGACATTTTCATTGCTCAACATCTTTCTTTAGTGGAAATTCTGAGAATAAAGTGTTATTCTCCTGTTTCTTAAGTTATTGCTTGCGTAGATGCACATTTGACATCAGTAATTCAGGATACAAGAGCCTAAATGAAATACTTTTACCAACCTGCCGGCAGTCATGTAAACCTGTGCCCCAATCACTAAGAGATAAGATGCGATAGTCAGGCCAAATAACTTGGCACAGGATTCAACAGTAAAATTTGGTCTCTTTTGGTAGGCCTTGTAGGCTTCTTGGTGCCTGTGGAGCCTCAGTAGTGCCTCGGCTTGCATAGCGAAAACCTAATTGTAAAACAGAAGTAACCTGCTTAAGAATAAGTTCAATAGCTACAGGTAGTAGATACAATTGTACTGGAACTACTCTCCTCTTCCATTGTATTAAAAGAAACGAGAGGAGAAAAAAAGTTTCAAAATTTCTCACCTTTGGAGCTGAATCAGCACCAGAGGAAACTGTGCGCTCAGTCTCTTTCAGCAATCGAGACCATTCTTCTAGTTTTCGAGCTTCGGTGCACCTGTTCAGGTTCCCTTGAAGAGCCTGAACTTGAGCAAGGTCTTTGGAATCAGTAATGGGGCCTGACTGTTTGTAGTGACTCAGAGCCTTCTCTGTTTCTCCCAGTCTGCATGATGAATTTCACATTAATTATTACAGGACCTCTATACCGTTCCAGTTTTATCATTCATTAATATATAAATAGAAGTTAATTATTATAGAATAAACAGCAAAAGCACACGAGTTTTAATTTACGAGCTCTGTTTAGTACACAAAACTCTCTATTGGCAGTCAAATAAGGCATACCTGAAATATATTGTTGCCAAACGGTAATGGGCTCTTTGATAATCAGGATCAAGTCTGATAGCTTCTTTGCACTCCACAACAGCTTCTATAAGACGGCCTAATCCTATCAAAGCAGCACTTCTATTGCTTCGATATGTTGCCTTTGTTGAATCAAGAGCAATTGCACGATCATAGAAAGCCAAGGCCTCTTCAAATCTTCCCTGCTTGTACCTTTCATTTCCTTTATTCTTTAAAACCTCAGGATCCATGCTAATTATCAGATCCTGTCCCTGCCGCAACTCATCACTAGGCTGCCTCACAATGTTGCCCATAACACCATTACTGCCAAGTTTACTATAGCCATTTCTGGGTCTAGAAGAGAAATTTACCTCTTGAAGGTTCTTGTTAAGGTAACCCACGGTCTTAATGGTAACTTTAGGACTATTATTCCCTATAAAATCCCCGTTTTTTTTTCTGGACTGTCTTAGGTTGCCCATATTGCCTAACAACATTACATTGCCAGAAGTGGCTCGAACAAGAGCTTTGTTGTCATTGGACTTTCGATGATTAGCTATTACAGTTCTGCTAAGCTCTATGGAGTCACTGGTAGAGTCCCATTTTAGCTCAGACTTGTCGGTTTGAAGTACTTTAACCCGTCCTGAGCTTGATGAGGATGATGTTGAGCTTCTTGCAGCATCTGAGGTTCTCCTACCTTCTTTCTTTTGATGAGAAGTCGAAGGCCTTGGAGGAATCAAACTATGCCGTTTTTTCCCTACTTTTGGTGAAGATATGGGCAAATTGGAGGAATAAAGGATGACAGGCTCGGGTTTGTTTTGTTGCCTCTTTGAATTATGGATAGGAGGCTTCTTTGAATTACTATCAATACTGGGCAGGTTTCTGATAGTGGTGCTGCTCGCAGGAAGTGAATGCACTGAGGTCTTTTTCGGCCAGAAATGCCGGCGTAGGAAAGCTCCCCCTATCACGCCACAGCCCAAATCCTTCTCCATAGAGTATGTTGTGATTTCTGCCATGATTCACACCAGGTTTATATTGCCTCTTGAGATAATACTTTATGGACAGAGGAATTAAAATGTTTCTTAACCAAAAAAAATAAAAAAATTAATATAAGAATGTCAGTGTAAGCATGATGTTTCTGGGTTTGGAATTTTAATGAAGAGAAAGGTTAAAAATCCTTCGCTGGAATCATTTAAAAGAATTGATGTGGAAGAAATTGTCAGAGAGAGAGAAGAAGAGAGAGAGAGAGAGGAGAAGGATGGATGGCTTGCATAAGAAGGATAGAGGCAATAGGCCTCCTCCTTAGAAGGTATGTGTATATATTAAGTCCTATACTCCAAGAGTGGTTTCTAAGAAACCAACTTTACATCTTTAGAGTATCCAAGCTGAGACTTCAACTTAATGAATGAAAATAAAATAAAAAGTGCATAGGCAGGGGAACATATTTTGTTTCATATAGATTTGTATTTTATTAGTGTTAAAAGAATGCGTTGCCGAAATTATTTTTAATAGGGCAGACCCATATCTCATTTGATACAAAACAAATTCCTATTCAAATATTGCAACTTCAAATTGAAATGCTAAAATGCAAAGAACCAACCAGCTGGCCCCATGCATGTTCAATGAATGCAAAGGTTGCTTCATGTACCACGAATTTATCATGGATAATATACGAACTTCAGCACATGGGATTTGCCATATAAAAAGTTATGATTTTCTAAACTTTTCTTAGATGAAAACTAACTTCCTATAGAATTTTTCATCTTTGATTTCATAAAAAAATCCAAAATATTTTATAAATTTTGATAGGAGTTTGAGAATATATCTAAAAATTCCTTTGAAATTGCCAATAAAATAACATTTTCATCAATGTTTTCATTATTTTTTTTTGGTTTATTGTTATGATTTTTATACTAATAATTATCTTCTAAACACACAATAATAACAAATGCAACAACAAACATCTTCAAGCTAATAATTGCTCGCATTAAATCCACAACCACAACAAAAAGTGCATACATATGTAGCGATCGAAATAATAAGCTCATATAAAAAATAATATAAAATCAAAATTATCACATAAATATAAGTATAATGCTTTATAAAGCACCAACAAATATTTTATACATTTTCAATTTCAAATATAAATATTCAATACATTTTCATCATAATCCTACTCTTTATTTTTATTGTTATCATGTCTAATATCATCATTGTCATTGAAATCAAGGTCAATCTTATCATCTTAATCCTTTTCTATATATTCACTAGTACATAACATTATATTTAGCTCATCAACATTAGCATCAATGTAAGTGTTCTTAGTAACAAGAAAATTAGATTTTTTAACTCTCGTTAGACAGAGTTACTTAATATAAATCAACTAACTTATATATGTAAAATACATCGTCTCATCCAATTACTTTTTTGTTACCATATTCAACAATTTGGACACAACTCCTAGATTTTGTTTTGACAACAAATAATTAATCAAATATTTTATGATCTTTTCTAAAGGAAATAGTGTATGATAATACATTTATTAGCATTATTTAACAAAATAAAAACATCATTGATGCTACAAAGTCTACCTTTTTTTATTAATTTTAACCAAATCATGGTGAATATTTACTCTATTTTTTTTTTATCAATATCATGCCTATAACATATAAATAAAAACACTATATCTTGTGATCTATGATATTGTAATTTAATCATATCTTCTAACTTGTTATATTAATTAACTTTAAACTCATTGAAAGTAGAACCCTTTACGCAAATTCTACTATTAAAGGTCTTTCTGCCATCACCATACTATTCAATATGAAACATATATCCATTGACAAAATATTTATTATAAAATTGGACTTTTCTTTCAGGACCCAAAGATAAAAATTTTAATCTACAAACATTGGCTCTAATATTGAACATTTGGTTAAAGTTGATAACCATTAATTGTCAAAGAAAAAAAAATCTAATTCTAAAATTAGAATTTGCAAACTATTAAACATTTATATGTGTTTTAAACCACGTGAAAAATTGTTCAGCTTATAATTAGAAAATTTAAGTTTCACTAACATTTATATTTTGGGATAACAATAATTAATAATATTGCCTACATGGAAATTACTGAATTTAGCTTGTAAGATAATTTAAGATAATATAATTATAAAATTGACTTACTAAAAAAAATCTCAATTCATCATAGTTAAATAATATATAAGTATATACTTGTCTGAATTCAATGCTTGCCAAATATCTTTTTTTTACTAGTTTCTTTGATAATGATCGCTAAGATGAAAAAATATCAACAAGTTCTCACTCAGAGACCATTATACACTATCATTATTTCTAGGAGTGTAATTGATTCTTATTCTCTAGTGAGACTCAAAATAATATAAGATAAAAATTGAAATTTGTTTTAACAATATAAGTTTGAATAATTATATTATCTACATGAAAGTAATTAAAGATAAATAACTAAATGTTAAAAAAAATAATGGACAATTACTTCATATGTAATCCATAACTTTTTTAATGGACATATTCATTTATATTATATAGGACCTTTAACTTTTGTTTTTTATGTTAGATGTCGACATATGCTCTATTATATTGAAGAATGAGAGAGGATCATTTCAAGTTTATTAATGATATCATTGATGTTTATTTCAAGTTTCTTCATATGTTGAATATGCAATTTATTATAATAAATATCCCTAAAAAAGTAACTAATATTTGTTAGTGCATTTGATATCTCTTTTGGAAATATAAGTAATAGGAATGAATGTTTATACAAACACATGGAAACTATGACTTTTCATCTCATATAATTTGTATTCCCTAAATTCATCAATTTAGCTATATTTAATGCATATTTGTTGGAAAATTGTAGACTATTGAGCCTTTTATAGATAAGAAATTATACATCCTTATCAAAGATGAATATGGTTTAGGCTTTGCAACACAAAACTTATAATTAATCAACTCTATATTCTCATAGTTACATTATAAAGGTAAACCCATTATAGCTTTTATATTATCTTTTATTTTTTGTTTCACGTTCATTATCATGTTAAAGATATTGTCAAAAACATTATTCTCAATATACAAGATATCTAAATTATGATGAATAATATTAGTCTTCCAATAAAAAATCTCAAAAAAAATACTCTACTTTATCCAATTATGGATCACATCAAGACCATGAAATTTTTTCTTTCCAAAATAAAAACAAAACACAATGTCCTTATATTTTGAAACTTCATTATACAATTCTTCATTCAATAGTATCGGCGGTGCAACATCCCTTTCAATATTACTTCTTAAGAAGTATTTTCTATTATTTCTTAATTGATAATGATTTAGCAAGAACCTTTACTGATAATAATAAAAAAAAGAAGCTTTTCCACCATTGAATAAGGTAAAAGCCTTATTATGATGCATACAATATGAACAAATTAATTTTCCATATGTATTTTAATTCAACACCGTCCTATACGAAGATAAATAATTTATAATCTACATTAATCCTACCTTTATTTCAAAATCATGTTTCATTAAAACATCAATTAATCAATGATTGAAGACAATATCTATATTTCTACTTGAATTATGTGTACTAGGTTTGACAATATATAAAAACATGAATTATGACTTCATACATATACCAACCTAAAAATAAAAATTACACACACACAACCAAAATTTTAGCAAAGTGTTATATTTTCATTGCCAAGTTATCGACATACAAGTTTCACAAACTACAAATTAAATCAATCACAATACTTGTCCCATCATATGAGACTTCTATAACTTAACCATAACATCAACTTCCTATTTTTTCCAATATTCATTTAATATAATTAACATTATAATATTCCATAAAACAAGTATTTAAAACTAATATAATTCAAGGCATATATCATTTTGTTTTAAAAGCAAATACGTTTAAATAAGAATATAACAAGATTATGAACTAACTTTGTGAAGACAACTTCCTTAATTACATTATTCATATTTAAATAAGATAAACAATATAATTATTAGGTACAAAATTATATTATAACAAAAATATTGGTTCTTCAAAATACATCATTCATGAAACTACTTCTCAACTTGAGGATAAGAGATACCTAAAAATATTCATTTAAAACACACACACACACTTTACATCACTTAAAATTTTTAAAGAATTTCATATTCATGCACATATATATTCATAGCATTATTTGATGGATTAACTTTTTTTTAACATACTAACATCATCATAAATCCTTAATATCATTTTCAAATCTTATAAAAATATCGAAATTGTCTCTAGTTTAAACCAGGTATTTAACTTTTGTTTAAGTCATCTGAATTCTATAATTACCCATCACTCAGGGTGTTAATCCAATTATATACGGAGTTAGTTCTTTATATTTGCTCTTTAACCAGGCCATTAGTTCTTTTAACCAAGAAATTAAATCCTCAATTTTTCCATTCAACATGACAATATTTGCATTAATTAAAGGTATAGTTTCTCAACTCATTTATTAACCTAGGCACTAATTCCATTAATCATGGATTAGTCTTTCTAATCCACCTTTTAATTTTACAATTGTACACTAAGATATGATAAAAGGAAATTACTTCTAGTACTCTTTTAAATAACTCTTGATGTCTCTAAGCACAAAAAGATTCTCTATTGCTAATTAGGTCTTGTGGCATTTTATATACCAACATAATTTGCATGTCATTTTCCATTCATAAACTTTAATGATAAAATCTTATTTTTCACTTAGGTTTTAAATTTTTATTTCAATTATGTTGTAAATTCCACATTCTTGTAATGCATAAATGTTCACTTTTTATACATTCTTTTTCATTTTTAAATTGGTACAACATAATACAAATTACTCATTTCCTGATTTAATTAATTCTCATACACTTATATAAGCCTGGTCGACTTAATAGATCAAAGAGAATAAAATTCTCTTTTTAATCCTTCATAGATATTATATTCTTAACTCTTATACAATCCACTCGATTCGTTTAAAACTACCTTTTTATATTAACAATACCCAAATCGAAACCCTTTTTCTTTTAGTGAGTTATTAGTAGAAACCTTTTTAAAGAAAAAAAGTGAGAATTCTTCTCTCTTCTTTATAAAATCCTTATCCATTCCACCTATTAACATCAATAAACCTTTAGTTTCATACAATTTCCAAACAATTGTATAAAAAATTCCAATATCCTAATTTTTCCTTTTGGTTTAGGGGTTTTTGTTTCTTCCATTCTTGAAATGGACTTATTACCATTCTTTATTTCATGGTTGCAACCATCTTTAAATCACAATTGCATCAATTCAACAATCAATAATTTAAATTTTTATTTTTAACATAA